AAATCACTTTAAAATCAAAGCTGGTTTTGGAGTTTGACAGTGGCTATCCTTCCCTAATTACAAGCATGTTGTTAAAAAAGAAAAAAGTCATAGTTTCTGTCTCATATCAGGAGCCACCTGGTATGGGACAGAAGGAAGATAAAATTTAGGGACTAATATTATCAAAACTCTACTTTCAAAAAATTTTACTTCTCCTCATACCTATTTTTTATGGTAACTTTCATCTAATATATGTCTGTATGAATAATGTTTAAGTTTTCCACAATGAACAATAAATTTTCCTGCAGTAATCTGTGGAGTTTCCAGGAAGAAGATTCCACCTGGTTGATGTGACGTCATTATGCTGCTGGCACCACTCTAAGATCAGTTTTGGGTTACAAGCTGCTCAAGATGGTTCCAACTGGGCTGAGATGGTGCACCTTCTTACAACGTTCTGGACACAGCTTCAAATAACAACTTCAGAAAACTCTATTGACTACTCAGAGACTATCTGCAATTATACCAGACAGTAATCTTGAAACTTAACCATCATTTTAGTTTTTACAAGATCCCAAAGAAATAACATCGCCCCCTGACAGCTGGAAGTAATTCTAGAAGATTACGTCCCCTCTCCCAACAAAGTTTGTCCTCAGGGTTAAGGACATCTATTAGGGATTGGTTATAAGTGGTATAAGGTTGGGGGTAGAAATGAAGCAAGCTTAGAGATTTCTTCTGATTAAAAAAAAAGAACTGGATGGGATAATAAGTAGATTAAATTATTATTTGTGAGCTATTATTCAAGACAATGTACTCTGTACAGATTCTTGTATATTGATACAAATTCAAATTAGTTATTTTGAATATGCTCCTATTTCTGTTTACAATATTTGTGCGCCCATGCAAAGCTATTTTGTCATATTGTATGTATACATGTTTCTACCTCTGCTTAAGACATTCTGTATATTAATACAATTTTAGATCACATTGCACTAAATGTTGGGCACTGAAGACACTCCAATTGGAGCTTGATTTCTTCTTGGCAAAACTGGCTTTTGGGCAAACTTCCCTGCCTCAACCACTGACAAAATGCATGGTGTCCAGACTGGACAAGCAGGATACAAGCAAAAAGACTCCCACCAAACTTTGCCAAGACAAGGTAAGATGGTTTTTCAAATTTTCCTGCCTCTGAAAATGGTCTGTCACTCTAGGCCTTAGCCAAAGTTGGTTGCCCCAAAGTTACAAATGAGAGTTTGGGTGATTGCTCAGGCAGCTGGTTGTTTCTGTCATTTCTTGCACCTTTCGGAAGTTGCTAGATTATACTTCCTGTTTACTCAAGTAATATTATTTCCCTTTTCAGCTTTTTGATGGGGTTGAAGACTTTGCTCTCATGACTTAGCCAAGCCATTTTAAACATAGGAGTTAGACTCCCTAGGCTAGGATAACTTTTGAAGCATTCAGCATATGCTTCTTGTTTGATGTTGTTCAAGCTGGTTGTAATTCTAATTTTTTTTAAAGATTTACTTATTTATTATGTATACAACATTCTTTCCATGTGTGCCTGCAGGCCAGAAGAGGGCACCAGATCTTATTATAGATGGCTGTGAGCCACCATGTGGTTGCTGGGAATTGAACTCAGGACCTCTGGAAGAGGAGCCAGTGCTCTTAACCACTGAGCCATCTCTCCAGCCCTGTAATTCTAATTTTTATGGATGTTTTTGCCTCTTCTTTTCCCTGGACAATACTTGATATTTGTTATTGTATATAGTTTTGTATTAGGCTTAGAACTCTCTTATTTAGACAAAAGGGGGAGGTGCTGTGGGAACTCCCTCAGCCAATAGCCTTTAAGATACCGGCCCATTTTGGGTGTCGTCTTATATACAATAAATGCAGGTGAAAAGTGTGTGCAGGCCTCTTGACTGCTGGATTCGAGTCCAGTTCCCAGTGCATGCAGAGGACTGTGGATTGCTACTCTTTCTGTGAGTTTATCCCCAGATAAGTACATCTTTGTTATACTCCATTCCAGGATATTATGGAATGCTTTTGTACACCAACAATGTAGCCCTGGCTGTCCTGGAACTTACTAGGTAGATCAGGCTAGCTTTGAACTCAGAGATATGCCTGCCTCTGCCTCTTAGCGCTGGGATTAAAGATCTTAGCCATCAAACCTGACAAAACATGGCTTTAAAAGGAACAAGGCAAGAGACTTTGAACTTAAGATATCCAAGCAATAGCAACTCTAGAAAGTGACAATAAACAAGAGGACAACTGACAAGATAGATTGGTGGGTAAAGGTGCTTGCTGCCATGCCTGATGACCTGGAGCCCACATGATGCAGGGAGAACCAACTTTCACAAACTGTCTTTTGTGTGCGTTCTCTCTCTCCTCTCTCTCTCTCTCTCTCTCTCTCTCTCTCTCTCTCTCTCTCTCTCTGACACCCCCCCCCCACACACACACATTAAATGCATAAAAAAAATTTAAGAGGGCTGAGCAGTGGTGGTACACGTCTTTAATCCTAGCACTTGGGAGGCCGAGGCAGGTGAACCTCTGTAAGTTGAGGCCAGCCTGGTCTACAGAGCCAGTTCCAGGATAGCCAAGGCTACACAGAGAGTCCCTGTCTTGAAAGAAAAAAAATTAAGAGAAAAGAAAATTATTGATAAAAAAATATTTTACAGAGCTGACATGTATGTTCAGTGCACAAAACTTACCAGGGTGAGCTGAGCTGTGCCTTTAATCCCAGTACTCCAGAGGCAGGTGGGTCTCTTGAGTTTAAGGTGAGCCTAGTCTATAAGATAGCCACAGTACACAGGACTAAACAGAGAAACTATCTCAAACCAGACACCCCCCCCCCAAAAAAATTATGTCAGGTTGTAAAGATTTCTGTACACACACACACACACACACACACACACAGTACACTTGTACACATATATGCACACACACACATACACACAAACACAGAGTTAAAAAAAAGTGACTATCGATTCTTTTTAAGATCGTTTTTAGGGAGGTTGGAGAGATTGTTCAGTGGGTAAGAGCACTTGCTATTCTTTCAAAGGACCAGGGTTCAGTTCCTAGCACCCACAAAGCATCTAACAACTATCTGTATCTCCAATTCCAGGGATTCTAATGCCCTCTTCTGGCTCCCAAGGGCACTGCACATGGTATATACACAGGCACACAAAGGCAAAACACTAATACACATAAAATAAATGTATATACTGTGTTTTCATTTTCACTTAATTCTAGGATGGTTTTTATTTCGCTTTGGTTTCTCCCTTAACCCAACTGTCATTTGGTAGTATGTTGTTTAGTTCCCTTGAGTCTGGGTACTGCTGTTGTTTCTATGATTGTTGATATCCAGCTTTATTCCTTTGTGGTCAGATAGGATGCAGGATGTTATTTTAGTTTTCCTACATTTATACTGAGACTTGCTTATGTGCTAATATGTAGTCAATTTTGAAGAAAATTACAATAGCTGCTGAGAAGAAAGTGCATTCTCTAATGAGACACCATACAATACCAAATATAATCCCTAATGGACTACCTCTTTTTTGAGTTGTTGCCTAATAGGGTCCCATAGACCAACCCCCTAAAATTATAGGCTATTGCCAATGCTCTTAGTTACCATCCAGAACTTGACAGTAATATCTTATTGCTGAAGAGCACCATCTACTTGAGTCACAGAACACAGAGAAATCTAGCAAGCACTCAACTGAAAGATTAAGTCATATTGGTTAGCTTTCATAGTGCTGGAAGGTACTGTGTAGACCAACAGAGGAAAAAGTAACCATCAAACTCACCCAGCTATGCACACGGCAAGCTATACTAACAGTGCATTCATAGCACAAATGTTATGGGAGTAACCATAACTAATTAACCAGCTAATTCTGACTGGATTTAAGGCCTGCTCCATGAGATGGAAGCCATGCCTGACACTAAGGCCAAGAAAGAATCTGTGGCTGGAGAGGTACCGGGCTCAAAGTGGAAAATCTACTACTACTATTCTGCTAAATGCATATAGCAATGAAAATGACTCTTCATGACTCATGTCTATAACCATTGGCCAGTGTGTCCTCAATCCTCATCAGACTTCTCCTGGTGATGGCTATTAACACAGAAACCCACAAGGGGCCAATGAGCAGAGAATAAGAGACTTTGGAATGATCAGCCCTAAATGGCTGTCTATACCACATCTCTTCCCTCAAGGCTCAGGGATCTATGCAGAAGAACAAGACTGTAAGAACCAGAGGTAACTTCAAGAGTTTTCCATACATAACAGGCAGATGCACTTATGAACTCACAGTGAGACTGTAATAACATGTACAAAAACTGTAGAAGCTCACACCAGACAAAGTCCTACCCCAAGCTTGGGAGCTATTGGTATCTGACTGCTTCTGGGAAATAGAACCTCACTTCTCTTCAACCAAGTGACACCAGGTCTATTCATCATATGCCAAAGCACATCCCATACTCAGAAGAAGCTAAAAACATAAACTGGACTAGATGGGAGAGCAAGGAGGAGAAGAAAGAGGAGGGGAGGACATGAAGGTGACTGGGCAGTGAGGAGGGGGAAGACATGAAAGTGAGTAGGCAGGGAGGAGTTGCAGAAGGAGGATGAACATGATATACTGCGTGGAATTCTTAAATAAATAAAAATACTATCAAAAAAATAAAACGGGTTTGTAGAGATGGCTCAGTGATTAGGTATACTGGCTGCTCTTCCAGAGGATCAGGGCTGGGGGTTCAATGCCCTCTTCTGGCTTCCTCAGACACCAGCTATGAAAGACACAGGTATCTATTCAGGCAAAATACACAAATTATCAAAGACAAAAATCTTAAAATGGTTTTCAAAACCAAATCATACTATGGACACTCAAATTCAAATCTAACTAGTCATATGCTACTCAGCAAGCTATTACCCTCAGAGTGCCTATGTAGTATTATTTAACAGAACAAAGGTAAAAATGCCTAGCAACAGTGGAGTGGGTTCTATTTACAGGAAAGCAGAATTTAACACTTACCCAAAAGGCAGGACTCTACGTGGCTGATCTCGGGTCACTGTCACTCTGATCTTTGGATAGTCACTTATTCCATTAGGAGACTGATTACCTTTAAGAACACATTTGTAATGAGAGGAAAAACTACCATGGTGAACAGTCTGCATTAGGACAGAAGTTTTACATGACAGACTAACATCTTTTTCAAAGCATACTACTCTAGTATGAAAGTTACAAAAAACATTCAAGAAAAGAAATGGTGGCTAGGAATATAGCTCTGTGGTACATACACTATTACCTAACATGCATGAGGCCATAAGTTCAATTGTCACAAAACCACAACAGTAATCAAGTAGCTGATATTAAAATACTACGCTTAAGTCAAATTCACTTTACAAGCCGAGCAATAGTGGCGCACACCTTTAATCCCAGCACTCAGGAGGCAGAGGCAGGTGGATCTCTGTGAGTTTGAGACCAGCCTGGTCTACAAGAGCTAGTTCCAGGACAGGCTCCAAAACCACAGAGAAACCCTGTCTCGAAAAACAAAACAAAACAAAAAAAAAAAATTCACTTTACATAAACTTTAAAAACCATGAGCTAAAAGAGACCTTGCTCCTTACGCTGTTGTCTCAGTTATTCTGGCCACAGCAATGTCAAGGAACTAATACACAGGGTACATGTGCACTCATCTTTGCACTTCTGTGCCACAAGAGGTACTCTAACCTAACTAAAGTATGAGGAATATAATTATAAAGCTTCGTTTCTTTAGCTTTGGCTTCTGAACCTCAACTTCTGTAGCACTGATTTTCACTAGCTACCTCTTTCAAAGTACAATTTTACCTACATGGCAGGCACTAAGATCATTCTTCAGAACTCTGGCTTCTTCTGAGCTTCCCACAACACTACTTTGTGCAGTGCATACAAATACAATTACACTCCCCCCTCAGGTCTAATGGCAACATGGAAGTCTATACAGCTGCAAGAAGTAGGAACTTAGGGTTGCTCATTAAATATATGAACTCCGAGCAAGAACAAGGTCTCCTGCTATTCCTGACAAGCTGACTTGGTGCCTAGCATATAGTAAGCTCTTGGGTTTTTTTTCTAAAGATTTATTTTTATTATTTTTAAATTATGTGTGAATGTGTATACACACACACACATCTGTGTGTGAGTTCAGATGAGGGTATCATACCCCCTGGAGCTGGAGTTCTGCCTGTTGTTGGTACTGGGATATAAACACAGGTCCTCTACAAGAGTGCACACCCCGCCATCTCTCCAGCCCTTCCATGTTGTTTTTTCTTTTTTTAAATATTTATTTATTTATTATGTATACAATATTCTTTCTGAAGGCCAGAAGAGGGCACCAGACCTCATTATAGATGGTTATGAGCCACCATGTGGTTGCTGGGAATTGAACTCAGGACCTTTGGAAGAGCAGGCAATGCTCTTAACCGCTGAGCCATCTCTCCAGCCTCCATGTTGTTGTTTTTTAAAAAGATTTATTTATTATATAT